GCCCAGCCTGCATTTACACGGCGTTCGGGACAAGGCCATGCGAAGTTGGACCGCATCTATGTTAACCACCACACTGCTGATTTTTGTCAGTCTGTTTTCTATACAGCCGCGCTGCCATGGTGCGCCGTCGAGTCCGACCGCCGCCTGCTATCTTATGGACGACGCGTATTGGGAGGACCAAACAGGCCACCATCCTTGCAAGAGAAATCCATGCACCACCCCGACTGGGCCAAACGAGTGGCCCGGGACTATCACCAAAGGTTGCGAACATGGGGTGCGACGGGGGCGCCGCCTGACGGAATCCAGCGGCTACGGAACCTCAAGGACTTTCTGTGTGTTGTGGAGCGCGCCATGCGTGAGAATAGAGGGGGACTCGGTTGCCTTGCTGTGGAAGGAATTCCGGAGACGCCATCCACCGCTTTCAAAGCCATCGCATACATCGAGGGGGGCTCCATGACCACGCCTGCCCGACAACGCGAGCGGTTGCCTCGCAGTTGGCACGCGGCGTTTCCAAACAGACAATCGAATATGCGCGCGTGCTTGACAAGTCTCAAAGCACATGCAATGGAATTATTGAAACAGGAGCTCTTGAACGACATGCGGGCTTTCCAAGAGGTGGCGCCGAATTCCGACGAGCAGCATATGCAGATAAAGCGGACTAGCATCAACCAGCGGCTCGCCAAGCTCACCCGCAAAGACCCAGCGCACAGGCATCCACGTCATGGCAACCGCAGAGGTGCATGCCACATCAAGCCCAGAAGAAATTGCGGAGTTTTTATAAGCGTATTGGACCAGAGTGCTTGGGCACCAAGACATCGACCGAAACAAGCTCACAGACTGGTTGCGTTACGCTGAACAGGCAGGCTCGCCCAACGTCACGTCTTACCCCGGGCGCCTGGAAGCTGCGGAGTCGCGATGTTCGCCGAGCTTTGAGGCTCGCGGGCAACTCCCGCGCAGGTCTGGATGGGGTCCCGTTTGGTGCATGGCGGCGGCTTGGGCCACTGGCGATCAATGTTCTCTGGGAGGCTGGGCGTCAGTTGGGATGTGGCCTCAACCCGGATTGCGCCGAGCACGACATGTTCAACAAGTTCTTGATGCGTTGCCTTCCAAAACAGCCATCCCGCACCACGGGTGATGGCGAGCAGGTGTACACTGCCGAAATCACAAGACCGCTATCCATGACCAACACAGACAACATATTGATTGCGAATGCGTTCCGTATCAGATGGGAACCACTACTGGTCCAATCGTGGTGCGAGACCAACGGGGGTTCATCCAGGACAGGTCGATGCTCAAGAACATTGTGGGGGTGGAGCACGCGGCCATGTGTGCATCGCTGCTACACGAGGACGCCGCCATCGTGCTCTTTGACTTCACCGCGGCGTTCCCGAGCATATCTCGGGAATGCCTGATGGCCACAGCTGCGTCGGCGGGTCTACTTCCCTCAGCAATGTGTGTTTTGCGGAGGCTGTGCCACAACACGACGGGCGTTCTCATGTTGAACGGCGAGCTTCACGGAGGCGTCCCGTTCTTCTCAGGGGTGCGACAAGGTTGCCCTCTTTCCCCCCTCCTGTTTGCTTTGGCCTCGGACAGCCTGCTGCGAATATTGCAAGACCGACACAGAGACGCAGTTGTCAAGGCATTCGCAGATGACACAGCTATGGCATTGCCTTCGTGGTCTCGCCACCAGGCCCGTGTTTTCAGGACGTTCGAAGTCTTTGAGAAAGTTTCACGGCTGGCGCTGAACTGCGCCAACACGGTGGCCATCCCGCTGTGGCGTGAGAACATTTCCGACATTTGGGCCCGGATGGTGGCCGATGCTGACATGCCCGACATCGATTGGAAGACATCGGGCAAATATTTGGGAATGTTTATAGGTCCCGAGAGAGGCGACACTTCATGGGCGAAGACGGCCGCCAGATACAAGGATTTTTGCTCGATTGGCCATGGCAGGAAATGGGGTTACACCCGTCTATCCACACGTACAGCACGTATGTTCTGCCAGTGGTCGTGTATGCTGCCCAAGTGGAGGAGCCCCCCGATCATGCGTTGGCCTTGGAGCAGACAGCCGTTTGGATTATCTCTCCTGGACCTGCTGGTGCAACCCACAAGATCTCCAATTTGGCGATGCTCTCGGACTGTCCCAGCGCCTGCGGTCAATGCAGGAGACTTGCCGGGCGTCACTGCTGAACATGCACGCGTGGGAGGCCCGCAGGGACGAGGGTATTGCTTGGGCGAGTCTACGCGCGGAGCTTAACAGCAAACTCTCATACACAAGATTCCCTGTGCGCGCTGGCACATAGGCCAATTGGTAAAACTTCCACGCCCCGACTGTCGTTCTCAGGGCGGTGGCGGAGGCGGCAGGGAAAGGGTTGACGACCGAGCGAACAAGGGCGGCTCTCACTGGCGTGGAGATCGGCCCAATCACGCGTGCAATGGAGAAGAAGCGCAAGCGCGGCACCCAGAACTGGCTCAGCAAGCAGTTTTTGCAGCAGCGACGCTTCAGCCCGGAAGTGCGGATCCGTCACAAGGTGGCCCGGTGGCAGCTCCAGGGGCCGCGAGCACGAACAGCAAGGACAATACACCGTAGTTTGCTGAAGCTCCGGCGGCTCGTTCCCCCCCTGGTCCGGGCCTCCGTCCTGAGCAGCCTGTCAACAGGTGGGTCACGGACAGACGGCCTCCGGGCCGGGGAGTGCCCCCCGCACCAAGGAGCACTAGATGATGGCCACCCCGATGGGCGACGACGACCTGCGTCGGATGGCTGTGCCGATCTACGTAGCATACTGGACCACGAACCACGTCCGCCACCACGCAGGGGCCACCCAAGACTACATCAAGCAATACATGAACCAAATGTTGCACGAAGCTGCCCGGGACGACGCGGCACTGCGCCGGTGCTGCGGCGCAGGCGGTCCTCAACGGGGAGTGCGACGCCGACGAGGACAGTGAGGCCCCCACTCGTGATGCCACTTCCGTGGTCGACGCCGGCCGGGAGATGGGAGGTCGCGGAGCGTCCCTCTGTCCCCGCGCGTTTGACGGGTGCGCCCAATTGCTCCCTCTCCGCCTCGTCTCCTCCCTCCTCTTTGCCCTTCGCGCCCCCCTAGGCTTCGCGGAGTGGGAACCAGCGCCCCCCTCTCGCTGCTCTCTGCGCTGCTGTCCCCCTCCGTCCCTGTCGTCGTTTCCATCCCCTGCTCTCCTGTGGCTCTCCTGCTCCTTGGCCTTTCTCGCTCTTTTCCCCCCCGTCTCCGTGGGTGCCCCTTCGTCGTCGTCGTCGTCGTCGTCGTCGTTGTCGTCGTCGTCGTCGTCGTCGTCCGCCGTTCTCGCTTGTCCTCGGGGTCGCTGGCTCGGTTGACAGTGGGGCGCGCGCGGCACGCCGATGTCACGATTTCCGCCGGCGCGGGTGTCACGGTTTCCGCCGGCGCGGGCCTTGCGGCCCCCCGTTCCTCCTCTCCTCCTTTCCTTCCCCCCGCCCTCCTCTGTTTGGATTGTGTCTGTTTTTTTGAATGATTGATGGTCCGTGGCCCATTGCTTGCAAGGTCAGGGCCTCCGTTCGGCCGCTGGCGGCCAACCCCAGCTCCATCGCTGGGCTTGCTTCCCCGTTGCCTCGCGTGAGTCCGCGCGTGGCACAAGGCTGCCACGCAGGGACATTACAAAAAGTGATACACTTGCCGATTCTACGCACGGTACTGTAGTCGTGCTCTCCCCTCCGCTCCCCTTCGCTCCCCTTCGCTTCCTTGCACCGCTCGTGTGGGACCCCGGTGCGCGCGCCGCTTTCGATTGGCCTCCGCACCTACAAGCCTCGGCCTGTTTTTATTATCCTCTCCGCTGCTCCCCTCCCCCGCCTTTGATTGACGTACTGGTTGTCGAGTGTCGCGTGGGCCGATCGCCTTTGGTCATGCGGCTCGCCTCGAGGTGCCTGCCTTGTGTTTTTGTGTTTCAAGGCTCATTCCCTACCTAGGCTCTGCCTAGAAGGGTTCTTACTCTCTGAGCTTAAAGGGGCCGGGCTGTGTAAACCGCCCCGGGCGGTTCCCCCAGGATCCGCCCCGCGGTTCCCCCAGTTGCGTCCCCTTAGCTTAGCGTTGCTTATCTCATCTTAGCTTAGCTTATTTCATCTTAGCTTAGCTTAGCTTAGCTTAGCTTAGCTTCATCTTAGCTCAGGTTTATCTTAGCTTAGCTGACCTTCATCTTAGCTTCGCTGAGCTTTAGCATAGCAGAGCACAGCATAGCACAGCATAGCGTAGCATAGCATAGCGCAGCACAACATATCATAGCATAGCCCAGCATAGCATTGCATAGCGCAGCATAGCAGCATAGCATAGCATAGCATAGCATAGCATAGCATAGCATAGCGCAGCACAGCACAGCACAGCATAGCACAGCGCAGCATAGCATAGCATAGCGTAGCAGAGCAGAGCATAACATAGCAGAGCAGCAAAGCAAAGGCAAAGCAACAGCAGCGACAGCAAAGCAAAACACAAGCAACGCAAAACAAAACAAAGCAAATGAACGGCAAAGCAAAAGCAATGTGCGACAGATGCCGAGCTAGCCTCGATGGCCGGACAGGAGCCCCCGCGAGAGCGCCCCCTTAGCATAGCTTAGCATAGCGTAGCATAGCATAGCATAGCATAGCGCAGTATAACATGGCATAGCATAGCATAGCATAGCAACTAATGCTGCTTTCCTAGGGGCTCCAACTTCTAGGTAGGGTCGCATTGGGGTAATCTGGAGAATACTGCATGCGGCCACGCGTGCGAAACGACGACAATCCGTCGGCCCTCCATCCCACTCTGCGGCTTGGCCATGCTGTCGTGATGCGCCGCGCTAGGGGGTGGAGCTATGAGTCATCAGTGCGCTGCGGAAAAGAAACATCTCCTCCTCTCCCCGCCCGCCCCCCCCTGCCCTTCTGACCCCTCCGCCGGGGGACTCCCGCCGCGGGCGGCCGCCTCGGGCCGCCTGCCGGCGCGCCTCCCCTCGCCTTCGCCCTGGCGGGCGGGCCGCAGGAGTTCCACGGCATGGAGGTGGACAGCATCCAGGCCGGGCCGCAGCGGAGGGCGGCCGCGGAAGTCTTTGGAGCTCGAGGCGGGGAGTCCGAGGTGTCCGGGCGCTTTCGCGGTTTCCGTGCGGCTGCTTTGCTTCGGGAGGCCTTCCAGAGGCTGCGCCTCGCTGAGGGCGTTCCGGGGGCGCCCGGATAAAACGACGCGAAGATCGGGACAAAATCGGATCGGGATAACTCGAAATCTCTGAGAATCGGCGGGTTTGGAGGATGTATTGGGCGCCGCGGCCGCTCCAGAGCGTTCCGGAACGCTCTGAGAGCGCTCCGGAACGCTCTGGAGCGATTTATCCCGATCCTAGCCCTGTTTTACCGGACCGTCCCGCACAGGCGCCGGAGAGGTGCGTTCTGGCCCAGAAGCCATCAGGGACAGTGGTAAGGGGAGATCGGCTCAAGAGGGAGAGCATCGACCCCCCATCGCCCATTGATCGCCGATAGGGGCCCGATAACCTCACCTCGCCCAGGACTGTCCGGATTTGCTATCATGGGCCTATCGCCGATGTGTCGGCGATGTATAGCCGATTCCACGTCGATGTTCCCCCCCATCGTTGCCTCTCACAGGCGGTGGCGACAGGGGCAGGGAGCAAGAGCATCGACCACACGCATGAGTGACCCTCCGCCGGAGTGACCTTTCGGTGCGGGCCCACAGGGGTCCCCCCAGCCTTTGCATGCGCGCCCAGATTTTACAATTGCGCATGATGAATCCTACTCTCGTCTCTCCCCTGATAACGTCCAGAAGATATCCGGTCCCCCTTATTGTTTTCTTGCGCACAGGATTGTCGGGAAGTGGATTTTCGCTTCGTTTTTCTCTAAAATTTGATCCCGCTGAAGCGCTGGCCTCATTTTCGGGCTTCCGGTCGTTCCGAATCGTGCTCTCGCTTCAGCGTTTGCCTCATTTCCGTGCTTCCGCTCGTTCCGAATCTTGCTCCCGCTCCAGCGCTGGCCCTTCTTCCAAATAGGCCCCAAAATTTAGAAAATGGCCACCCGAGAACCATCAGAAGTGATTCCACATTCGGTGTCGATTCGTTATCATTTTGGGCTGGGGCGTCGTTGCTTCACTGCGCAATGCCACGCCACGTGGCATGCTACGCTCTGCCGTGCTTTTCTACGCCATACCATGCCGTGCTGCGCACCCTCTCGCGATCATTGCCCTGCTCGACATCAGCCGACTGTGCGAATGAGAGGATATCTATATCTACGCCATGGTAAGGGATGGGAAGGAGGGGTAGGACGTCAGATATGACGCGAGCGCACCTAGCTTGGCCCCCCCCTCTGCCCCTTTCCCCCCCCTCTTCCCCCCTCCTCCCCGCCCCCCCCCCCTCCCGCGGCCCCCCCATGCCACGCAGCAGAGATCATTATTGCATGGTGCCACTCTTGCGCGCAGCCGAGGCCCGCAGGAGCAGGAGCAGGAGGAGGCGAGAAAGTGATAGGAGGAGGCTTTTTCGAAGGTGGCTGGCCTGTGAGAACCAGCGCCCGTGGGGGGACCTAGCCCAAAGCACGGGTTACCCTCTTGAAGCACGGTGGCTGACAAGCCCCACAGTGGGATCGAGGGGGAATCCCCAGCATCGTCGAAGTTGACAGGAGACGAGGCTCGAGGGCGTAAGGAGAAGAGATGAGGAAGGGTAAGGGAGGAAGGAATGAGGAAGGATGGATAAGGAGGGTGAAGGAGGAACTTGGACGGAGGAGGGAGGAAGGCGGAGGAGGATGATACGCTTATGGTGATTCTAAGGTGATGATGGTGGAGTGATAATGATACTCATATTGCTGCTGCTGGTGGTGATGCTGATGATGCTTATGCCGCTGATGATGATGCTGATGCTGATGCTGATGATGGTGATGCTGATGCTGATGATGATGCTGATGATGCTGCTGCTGCTGCTGATGATGATGATGATGACGATTCTGGATGATCGTGCTGACGATGACGATGTCGATGAAGATGGGGATGATGATGATGATGATGGTGATGATGATGATGATGATGATGCTGATGCTGATGCTGATGCTGATGCTGATGATGATGATGATGATGATGATGATGATGATGATGATGATGATGGGGAAGAGGTGGAGGAGGAGGAGGAGGAGGAGGAAGTGGAGGTGAAGGATTCGGAGGATTCGGAGCAGGAGGAAGGGCAGAAGCAAGAGTGGGCGCTGATCCTGGACAGATCAGTTGGTCCTCGTTCGCATGAAGCTTGGTGCTTATGTGCCCAGTCCGATGCCTCAGCGGCCAGAGTGTTTTCACTCGCACTGGCGTCGTCGCTTGCCTCGTTTTTTCTATCCTTTACACCCTGACTGGACTGGAGGAGATCTGCGCAATTTACCCTGTGTTCATGGTCGTGTTGTGTGTGTGTGTGTGTGTGTTTGTGTGTGTGTGTGTGTGTGTGCGTGTGCGTGTGCGTGTGCGTGTGCATGTTTGTGTGTGTTTTTGGGTGTTTGCGTGTGTGTGTGTGTGTGTGCTTAAGGGGGGATACCCCGTGTATCCGTCCCGGTCATGTTTTTGATTGGATGGCTAGTGCGGAGATGTCGGCAATCGCGACGACGGGGGTGGTGATATTCATGGTTACTGCCATGTCGTGCTCCAATGCACACCGTGCAATGTTCAAGCTCATGCAGCATGATGGGACGATGCATGGCAGTCGGAATGGGTTTGAGAAGCCCTATTTTCACATGCTTCCGGCTTGTGTCTTCAGTATTGTCTTATCCTCTCCCGCGCGAGGCTCTCGAAAACTTAAAGGCTGCGATCACGGTCTTGGCCAAGCACCAGGCGGATATGGGTGAGTCTGGGCACGGATGCCACCGTCACGCTAGCCAAACAATATTCAAGTTGCACGACTCCCGCTGGGGTAGTCGGCTGTCGGGGGAAGGGGACGGAGGATAAAAGAGGAAAGAGGGAGGAGGTAAGATGGATGAGCGAGGGAGGGGGGATGAAGCAAGGAGGGGTGAACGGAGGGGAGAGGGAGGAATGAGGATGGAGTGGGGAGGAGGGATGGGGGAGGATGGAGGGGGGAGGGATGGGGGCGGATGCAGGGGGAGGGGTGGAGGAGGGATGGGTGGAGGAGGGATGGGGGGGAACCATGCTCGAGGGCCCCCAGGAGGCCCCAAGAAGTTCCAGGAGACCCCAAGAGGCGTCGGGAGGCCCCAGGAGGCGCCAGGAGGTCCCTGCTTTTAGAAGGCCGAGTTTTGTGACGCAAATTTCGGCTGGCTCTGCAGCCGAGGGCGGCTGCACAGCAGTTCCTGCTTGGTGGAGCCCTCTTCCCATCAGTTGGGGAGCTGGCAGGTTTTCATCGTTCTCGGAGGAGAAACAACAAAAAAAACTTGCAGGAGTTCCCCAGAGCCCGCAGGTGGCTCCAGGATGGCTCCAGGAGGCCCCAAGAAGCTTCAGAAGGCCCCCGGGAAGCTCCAGGAAGGCCCCAGGAGGCCCCAGGAAGCTTCAGAAGGCCCCCGGGAAGCTCCAGGAAGGCCCCAGGAGGCCCCAAGAAGCTTCAGAAGGCCCCCGGGAAGCTCCAGGAACTCCCCAGGAGGCCCCAAGAAGCTTCAGAAGGCCCCCGGGAAGCCCCGCGAGGCCCGGGGAGCCCTGCGAGGCCCCGCGCCTGGGAGGCTCCACGACGAAGCAGGCCCCGGGCTGCCTCGCCGACCTCCGCAGGTTGGCACGCCCGCGTGTGCTCTCCTGCCAGTGCCCCATGGCCCTCCCTGGCACTCGCGATATCGCTCGCGCTCTCGCTCTTTCTTCGTTCGCCTCTCCCATCTCTTATCCTCCTCTCCCTCTGACTTCCCCACACCTTGCTCCTGCTCTTCCTCGCGGTTCCCAGTCGACTTCCTTTCCCGCCGCCTGCCTCTCCTCTCGAAAGCTGCTGTGTCGACGTCCCTCTTTTGAGCCCTTGTATAATTCCCCCCGCCTCTCCTTCTCGCTCTGCTATTCCCTCTCCTTCTCGCAGCGAATCAGCTGCCCTCTCCGTATTTCCTTCCCCTTCCCTTCTCCGTTGCATCATGTTCACTCCTGAGCCTTCCAGGTCTGGTACTTCAAACTCCTCTCTCCGTCTGGCGTCGATGCTTCTTCTTGGGAGTTGGTTTCGAGCTTCGGAGCTGCATGCCGCTATCCCTCTGTCTGTCTCGGACTCCCCGGTCATTCTCGCCAGCCAGAGTTGCAGCTTTGGGCGAGCCGATGCGGTGAAGTGCCTCTTCAAGCCAGAATGTAGCTGCCACAGACGCGAAATGTGGCGACGGGCGTTCTTCGACACAGCACGCGGCACCGTCATGGCTTGTCTTCATTCGAAAGCGTTGTCTTCGACTCTGTCCCAACATTTTCACCCCCGCTGGCTCATGGAGCCTACTTCGGCCCCACAGCTTGTCGGACTGTGTCCGTGAGGTGTCTCGGGCGGGCGGGCGGGTCGACTGCACGCTAGAGTGACCCCAGGCAAGGGTGACCTTTGGTGAGCGGCTGGGGGGGGCCGCGGGGAGACCACGTTCGAGCTCGACGGCCTGTGTTGAGAGGACCCTTGTGGGCGCGCGCCGACGGTCTCTCCGGCCAAGGGTCACTCTTGTGTGTACTCGGCCGAGCAAGCTGGAGGGAGCTCGAGGAAGAGGCCATGCCCAGGCGTCCCTTAAGATCTGGCGTTGCGAAGAAAATGCAGCTTCGTGTGAATCACGGCTGGAGCCCCAGACCCCATCCGTCTGCCGCAGCTGCCGAGTCGGATCGATGCGTGCTGGTGCCCGGGGCGCGAAGCCGGGCGAAAACGCCTGGTGCGAAAGAAAATGCAACGCCCACGCGTCGAGGAATCGTACACGTGAATTGGGGCGCGTGGGTTGGCGATGGGTCCCGCTCTTGTGCGGAGTCGACGCGCTCCGTTGCCGCGTCAGGCGGCACTGGCGCCGTGCTCGGGGGGCTGCTCTCCTCGATCCGTGGGCCGGGCGCCCACGCGCCAGATCCGCGGATCCGTGGTCCATGCTAGGAGTGTGCCCGGACAGAGGGTGTGCGGCAGTGCACCTTGGCCGTTCTCGAGTGTCTCCATGGGGGAAGTGAGCGTGGAGTGGAGGGCATCGACAACAGCCACCCTGGGCAGATGGAAGGCGATGGCCGGCGCCACTGCTGTTGTAGCCGCATCCTTGTGCCCTCGTTTTTCATGTCTGTCAGCCCTCACCCTCCTCTGCCGCCCTTCTCCTCCTCTTCCTCCTCCCCCCCTCCTTCTCCTTCTCATTATCCTCTTCCCCTTTTCCTGTGTTTTTGTTCCGCTTTCCGTATTTCTTATATTTTCCTCCTTATCCTCAGCCATTTTGGCTCAAGCCATTTTGGCTCAAACCATCTTGGCTCAAGGACATAGTTTACTCACATCTCTTACTCACATCTTTTACCCAGTCACATTATTTCACACTTTGGCTCTTTTCTTGCACTGCGACTCTACACCCATGCCTTCTTCTGGTACCCCGGTCAAGCAGCTGTTCAAGGTGGAGCAGCACAGTATCGCTTCGCCGTTCTCTTCCAGATCGTCAGTTACACATGCCGCAAAAACTGCTCGTGCCACCAGCCCGCTGAGTGAGACGGACGGGTTGGACGCTGAACTACCAGAAGCAGCAGGACCACCACAACCAGCAGATTCAACAGGACTTGCTAGCGACGGTCCCCCACACGCTCGTCAGGAGCAGCTCGAGCAGGACATCGTGGCCGCTGTTGGCGGGGATGGACAAGATAAAGGTAAAGGAAAGTATACAGATGGTCTGTTAGGCTTGTCCGCGATTGGCACGCTTATTGCTGAACACATACGATCCATCCAACAAGCTACTGCGGCAATTACGCTTCATGGAGTGTCCCGGCGCGACCTGCAAGAAGCTACAGAACCACTCGAAGCCTCAACTGAATAAGTAACTACGAAGTTCGAGCACGAGATTGAGAAGTCCAGGCACACGTTGCCAATTTGGAAAACATATTGAACGAGTGCATCGACAAGATCACGCAATACTTGGATCATATAGCACGGTTTACTCCACGATCGGCGTCTGGGACATCACACAATTCAGGATATCATCGCCACTACAATGGCAGTCGCACCGGTTCGGCGGCATCAGGTTTTTCACATAACAAGGCTGATCAAGATCACTACTTCGGGAAGCGCGCGGTCACAGTGGTGATCGGGAATCTGAAGGGGGTTTGATTCTGAAGTTGCCGCTGTCGTATATATTCGAGCCGAGTTGGGCAACATGGGCGGGCCAACTTCCGCAACTATATGGTAGGTATATTAGAAAGGCGATTTCGTGGACATCCTGTTCGCCGAGATCCATGCGATGGTCGACAGGGATTTGGCGGTGGCGCAACTACGCAGTGCTAGACCTCAGCGGGGATGCGCATGCATTATGGTGTACACTGGGCCAGGAACCGGCCATGAGGGCCGCGCGCAATCTGTGCCTTGGTTTGACATGCGTACTAAAGCAATGCATGATCATCACATACAACATCAACGTTTCCGATGAAGCATCTTATGCGGTTGACGCGGGCGGGCACTTAGCGCTTGCGGCAAATATTGCTGGCGCTCCCAATGAACGCATCGAGGGGGAGGATTGGCCAAAAGGGGCTGACTTACAACATGACCAACTCTTTTAGAATTATGGGAGAGGTTCCGCGCTGCATTCGCGAGCGCGCCCACGGGGGCGAAAGGTGGAGCCAAAGGAACATCGAAAGGAAGCGCCGGGAAATAAGGAATATGGCGCGCGCGCGAGCCCCTCAGCACGAGCTCCGCTGCCATGGCGCCTTCGCGTCGCAGCGCGCGTCGACGCCCCGGGCGTGGATTCGGGCGCGGGCCAACATGCCAACCCACCTCTTCTACGCGACCCTTCTTCTGATTCGCGCCCAGGGGTGGGCGCGGGCAAAGCCGCCGCCCCTCCACCGCGGCCTTCGCCCCAACAAGAACACCGCCGGCAACTGCGCGGGCGTGTCGGGGGTCAAAATCTGGGCGGCGCCAGTTCCAATCTTGCCAACTTCCCCTCTACATCTTGCACGAGCTATTATTGTCTTCCCCCCTGCGTCTTCGCCATGAAGATCTGCGCAACTATTGCGCCATTGGTCTGGTCGGCAGATGACGAGATACCGATATGCAGGGAACTGTTGATGCGGGCATCTCGCCCGCATCATGCCCGGGCAAAGATGCCCGGGCGCGCTGCCGACCGCGCATTGATTCCTCATCTTCCTCTTCTTATCCCCCTATTCCCCCCGCGGCTTCCTCTGCGTCGCCTTTGCCTCTCGGGGGGCCGCCCGCAGCGACCTTAGCTTTCGACGTGTGCCGGCAGGCCGTCAGCGCATTGCGGAGAGCGCTGGCGCCTTCGCGGGCGTGCCCGCGCAGACGAAGATTTTCGTCGCCAGACCGCCCTGTCGCCGTCCTCCTCTATTCCAAGAGCAGCTCCAGGAACTCATCGCAGCCCGCTCCACGAACAACCGCTCGGCAGCTGGAGCGTGGAAGGCCTGGGCCAAGATATGGCTGAGTTGGCGCAGCTGGAACATTGCATGCGCCGGCGCACCAGCGCTGTGCCGCGCGCGCAAGAGCGTGGTCACCGCGCGCACGGAGACCTTCGGCAATGACTATCTGCCCAATTTGTCTGGCACGTCACAAGCGCAACAGGATGGGCGCTGTTGCCCTGGAGTCGGCCTCTTGACTGCATGCTGGGCCATCAAGGCGGCCGTCGACTGCGACCTCATTTCGGACAGGCGCGCCATCTTGAAACCCAAGGTTCGGGCGGAGTGCTAAACGCCATTTCTGTTCGCGCCCTTAATCGAGGTCGCGATTGCGAGGGCTGGCGCGAATTCTTCGACCAGCTAGCAGAAACTGCCCGGCACCGAACAGACGCGTCGGCAGCGTTGTTCTCGGTAACTTCAATGCTCGACATTATGATCGCGAGCCCCGCGGCGAGGACATCGCCAGCGACCGAACAAAATATTTGAACCGGGGGCTTCTTTTGGAGACTTGCAGAGCAGTGGGAAGCGCCATCGCCCATGCCTTCATCGAGCACCCCCTGGGAGAGCTCGCGGCGCACTATGGGCCAGAGGTCGACCAAGCCAGTCCAGTGGGGGAGGGTTTCGCTCGAATCGATTGCTGCCCCGCTGACCGCGGCGCCGTCGACGGGGTGGCAGATGTTTGGGCAGACGGGTCAAGCTCATCGGCCTCGAGGCATTTCTTGCTGCGCGTGCTCGTCGACTTGCAATTCGACAGTGCGCGGCGGGCTCGGCCAAGGATGAACCATGGCAAACAGACGCTGGTCAACGACTAGCATCTGGCTGAAGCGCATAGTCGCCGGCTCTGCGAAGCCACCGCCGCGTCCGCGGAAACGTTGGACTTGGACTCGCGCGCCAAATGCATCGCGAATTCCACGGGGCGCGCAGCAGAAATGCTTGAACTTGCTGGGCGGAGTTTCAACGCTTGCACTTGGTTTGCTGAAGCAGCGAGATTATGCTCAACGACAGGTCAATCTGGCGGACCAGAATATGCTGAACAAGTGCATGGAAGCGTCAGTGCAGAAATGTTAGCGCGATTGGTTAGATACCCAACTGGCTGGAGGCCACTGGAAAGCAGCGCGCGCATTACATAAGAAAGTACCGAATTTACTCATTCAAATTCTGGATGAATATGGGGAGCTCGTGGAGAGCACCAAGCGGGCCGACGCTCTTGCTGATTATTTCGATCAAGCGCACTGGCAAGTCACTCATGCTAGACTTGCACCCGGCGGGCACAGCGACATGGGGAATGCACTGCGAATGTGCGCCGGCCCCCTCGGAATGTAGGAGCTTCAAGATGCATTGCGGGCTTTTATCGCAGGGGCAGCTGCGGGCGTAGACGATGCACCCCAAGAGCTGTAGGAAGCATTGGCACGCTCTCCGGAAGCGCGCGAAGAATTGCCGACGCTCTTGCAGAGGTGCTAGGGCGAAAAGACACCCCTCACAATTTGCACGCGTCAGTCATTGCACTCTTACGCGAGAAGGGCGACGCTAGTCTGCCACAGTACTACAGGCCGATACCTTCATTAACAATTGGGCATACGATTATTGCTTGGACGATGCAGAAACGCATTCAACATAGAGGCGCCGAGGCAATAATGCGATCCAGCCAGTTCGGATTTCGCCCTGGTAGAGGCGCGGCCCAGGCCATCAGCATCGCCCGGCGGATGACCGAAGCAGCGCAAACAGCGCAGGAGCCAGGTTTGATTGCAGTGTTGTTGGACTGGTCCAAGGCGTTTGACAGGGTAAAGCACGATGCACTTTTGGGCGCTCTTCGTAGATTTGGCCTGCCCGCGGATATGCTGCACAGGGTGGCGGCGATTTTTGCGTGTAGACATTTCATATTGAAAGATCCAGCTGGGACTTCGAGCCCGCGGAAACAAGCGGCAGGAATTGCCGAGACTGTCCTCTTTCGCCTCACCTGTTCATTATCGCGCAGTGCGCAATGTTTTTCGACGTCGACAAGCGCACGGGCGGCCTCCTCGATGACATCCAGGAGCCGGAATATCTGATGTGCCGTGACCGTCTTCGCGCAGACGATACCATGCTTATACGCCGCGCTTCTGGGGTATTCCAGACGTTGCCCGACATTGATCGACGAAGGCAAGACGCGCGGTCTGGACTTGAATTGGGGCAAGACTGCGCGCGCGTGCGCGCGGCGTGGTTTCCCCTGCATGGTACCCCACTGACAGCGGCGGAGCAAGCAGTGGATCTTGGTGGCCCGTTGAACACCAACTGCATAGCCATGCTGGAAGTGGCCCGAAGAATCGGCGAAGCCAAATCCGCTTGTCAGCAAGCGCACCAGTGATGCTCGCGCGCCACCGTCAGCCGCGCCAGAAACATATAGTCGCACAACGCGATCGCGTTGCCAAGATTGCTGCGTACTTTGGAAACGCTTTGGCTGCTAAGGCAGACAATGACCGCGTAGACAGCCCCCACACGCAATGTTTAAGAATAGTTCTCAGAATTCCCAGCGCGCCTGCTTCTTGAGCGCCCATTAAAGAGGTTCTTGAGCGAGCTGGGGAACGCCCGCTGAGCTCCACGCATCGCTGGCGCCGAACGGCGCTGTGCAAGAGAAGCGCAGCGTTGCCTG